TATTTTTACCATTGGCCCAGCCAGCCTGACATTTTATTCAACGATATGATCATGGCTTCATCAATGAAGGAAGCCTTTTTTTTTGGGTTTTTCTAAGCTATGCCCCTAAGGTAGTCGAGTTTCTAAGGTGTACCCATGCTTTTTCAAATTTCTAAGTTGTGCCCCTCAACTCACTACCATAAATGAATGGTACCCTTCTTGGGACTTCTACGTCATCTAAAGTTAACTATAAATTTAATAAAAAGATGATAAAAGGTAAGGAAATGATACGAGAAAGAAATCTTAACCACAACAACCCTAATAACGAAAACTAAAGCCACGAAATCACTCTCTCAATTAACTGTTAAATTACTAATAAGGGTACATTTTAGTATTGATAAGAAGTTGAAGGACACGACTTAGAAACTTGAAAAAGCATGGGTATACCTTAGAAACTCAACTACCTTAGAAGTATAGCTTAGAAAAAACCCTTTTTTTTTATTTGTACGTATTTATGTACAAGAAATTTAATGTTTCAAAAAGAATATAACATTTGACATGTAATGCAAGTTGTTTGTTGACATTGTTGTTATAGTAGACGTCGTTCATGTTAGTTGTTGTTAATTGTTAGATACATAACTTAGTTGTCATGCACACGAGTCATACAAAAAAACTTGGGCTTCACAAATCACAATTTTTTTAAGGAACAATTATTTTTTTCTTTATATTTTATTAGAGTAATATTTAATAATACTACGTATTTATGTCCTTATTGGACTAGATCCTCTTTCTAATCGTCTTCGTGGCTTTCTTCCCTCTAGAATTTCCCCTAATCAAAATAGCTTTCTTCCGGGTAGAGGTACGGAGACAAATATGATTGTGGTGAATGAAATTTTGCATTCTATGAAGAATAGGAAAGGGAGAAAGGGGTGGTTTGTTCTCAAGTTGGACTTAGAGAAAGCTTATGACAAGATTGAGTGGGTTTTCTTGAGAAATGCATTAGTTTTCTTTGGTCTGGATTCTCCTTCTATTGAGCTCATCAAGTCTTGTGTGTCCTCTGTTACATCCTCGGTTCTTGTTAATGGCATTCCCACTGAGGTGTTTTCTCCTTCTAGGGGTATTTGTCAGGGGGACCCTCTCTCCCCGTACTTGTTTATCATTTGTATGGAAATTCTTTCCCAATTGATTCATAGAGAAGTTGAGAGTAAAGCTTGGAGTCCCTTCAGTATGGGTAGAAGACAAGTCCCTATCTCCCATCTTCTTTTTGCGGATGATATCCTCTTATTTGGTGAGACTTCCATTGAGAACATTCTCTCTCTTAAAGATACCCTCGATTCTTTTTGTGCTTTCTCTGGCCAAACTGTTAGTGTTCAAAAGAGTAGAGTTTTATTCTCTGGCAACACCTCTCAAAATGATAAAAATATTTTTTGTGATGCTCTGGGTTTTAGAGAAACTGATGACCTTAGTCCTTATCCTGGATTCCCTATCTCGAGTAGTAGACCTTCCAAAAATAGAGTTCAGTTCATCTCTGAGAAAATTCTTAAAAAACTTGATCTTTGAAAGTCTGCAATGCTCTCTAAGGCTGGTAGGTTGTGCTTAGTTTCTTCTACCCTTAATACCCTTCCTAATTACTACTTGCAGTGTTTGCTCCTTCCCATGTCTGTTTTGAACCAGCTTAATAGTTCCCTAGCAAAATTTTTGTGGGGGAAAGGGGACAATGCTAGGGGCCTTCACCTGGTAGGTTGGAACAAGATCACTTTGCCTAGAGAGAGTGGGGGGTTGGGTATTAGATGTTTTAAAGCTTTGAATAAAGCCCATTTGTTGAAGCTTTGGTGGAGAATGTTGAATCAGGAAGGTAACTTGGCTGTGCAAACTCTCAAAGACAAATACTCTAAGCCTAACAACTTATTCAGAGCTTTTTCTTCTGGCTCCCACTTATGGAAAAGCATGGGAAAGGTTTGGGAGGTGTTTAAAACCAGTGTGCAATGGGGAGTGGGCAACGGGGTTGACATCTTTGCTTAGACTGACAATTGGGGGGGGGGGGGGGGGGGGGGGAAGGTTCTCTTAGAAGTCTTATTCATGGCCCTCTTCAACGGGGGGAGGAGGAGATTATGCTTGAGGAGTGTATTGTAAATGGTAATTGGGATTTCTCAAATCTTTCCTTTGTCATTCCTGATGATATTGTTGACTCTTGTAGAAGTGTTCCTATCCCCGAACATAATCTGGATTGCAATGATTTTATCTTCTCAACTCTTACCTCTAAAGGCAAATTTGATTTTAAAAAAGCTTTATCTCTTCTTCAAAATGATTGTGGTGAACATAGTAACTTGGGATGGATTTGGGGGATTAATACTGCCCCGAAAATTAGATTTTTTATTTGGTTGTGCTTTTTGGACAGACTCCCTCACAAGTGTACTTTGTTCACTAGAGGTATAACTCCATCTAATGCTTGTGCTCATTGTGTTAATATCCCTGAGAATTCTATTCATATTCTTCGGGATTGTGATCAAACTACAGGAGTTTGGGAATTGCTTCATTTACCTTCTTCCTTCTTCTCTACTCCGCTCCATGATTGGCTCTCTTCTAACCTTGCCCATAACCCCCCTTCTGCTGATGATATCTCCCTTCCCTGGCAAACTCTCTTCTCCTTCATCCTTTGGAAACTTTGGCTTAACCGCAATGACTGTATATTTAACCATTCAAACCAATCTCGAGAATTAGTACTTAGAGAGGCTCAAGCTTTAGCTTGGGAATTCCACACTTCTCTAAGGATCTCTTCGGGATCTTTCAATCCATCTCCCTCTGTCTCTCATTGGTTACCGCCTTCTCAGCCTTATTTCAAGCTTAACTGTGATGTCTCTTTCATATCTGATGGAGAATGGGCAGGGATAGCTGGTGTGTTTCGTGACTTTTCAGGACAATGGTTGCTGGGTTTCCAGCAAAAATGTCGCATCAAATCTGTAGTTATGGGTGAGATGCTCGCTATTGCAGTTGGACTAAAGTTGGCAATTGAGAGAAATTGGCAGATGCTTGAAATTGCTTCAGACTCAAAACAGGTGGTTGACCAAATCCAAGATGCAATGACAGTTAAAGATGCTAATATGTACATCCTCCAATCTTGCAGGGACCGAATTGAGCAACTCAGTTCAGCAAGGTTATATTATGAAGGCAGGAGTTCTAACAAGGTAGCTGATTGTCTAGCTAAATATTGTAGAAAGTCCCCAGATAGGGGCATTTTGATTGTAACCTTAACTAATCCCCCAGATTATGTTCGTGATGTACTTTTGGAGGATAGACCTCCCTAACTCTTTGTATCCAATTTTAATTATATTTTACAAGTAGACTTTTTTTTTTTTTCTAATAATCGATTACAGGTAGACTGATTACTTGATTAGGCTCAGTTTTTGTTTCAAAAAAATAAAATAAAAAATTAGGCTCAATTTTCTTTCTTTTTTTTTTTTTTTTTTTTTTTTTTTAAATTCTGGGTTCTGGTTTATAAATATGGCAACTCAGTTTACAGAATCCTATTTTTCATGGGGGAGGTTGTTAGTGAGCTTATAATGTGACACTTCGTGAAGTACTTATATTTACTTGAATTTGTTAATGAAGCTGATAATCATCCCAATAGCTTTTCATTTTGTTGGTCATGCGATTGGTGGAAGTTATAATCTCTTTATGGCATCTTCCCCCCAAGAAACAATGTATTCTCTTGAATCTGGTTTACATATGACTTATCGCTTGTTCGGTGCTTATGTTTGTTATGGTGTGACATTGCTAGGTTAAAGTCGATCATTTATAAATGGCGATATCTACATGAGTGCCACTATTTGGAGTTTCTGCGTTTTTATTACCCCTCAGGTTTGTCAACTTTTTCTTTTCAATGCTCAAGTTAAATTGACCTTTATCTCATTGGAGTCTTCATCTGCTTGGTTGTTGGATAAGATTGTATTTTATGGGGAAGTTTTGGTGAAAATAGCCCAAACAGGGAAAAGATGTTAAATCCACAGACCACGGCCTAAGATAGGAATAAATGAATAATAATGCAAAATGTTTTTCTTTCCTTTCTTCAATTTTCTTTTTTAAATAAATAATTGTAATGGGTACTAGCTTGATGACACCACAAGTTAATGTTCAGGAGGTTGAGACATGCTCAATACAAAACGGCCGAAGGTAGACCACTTCAGCAGATTCTTAAGAAGAAATTCCAATCACGTTCCACTGTAATTATTTTGTATTTTTCCTAATATGTAATTTTTCTTAATTGTTCATGTATATATTTAAATCATTTGTTCAATAACATGTTTTTTTTTTAAATTTTATAATAAGTCATTAACATGCCTCTTCAGCTTAATTCCAGTTTAGTTTAGTTCAATAAATCAAAACACGCCCTTAATCCAATTAATGATTTGATTTCTCTCACTTTATTAAGAGCAATTTTGAAGTTAGGAACAACGAAGTAAGAAAATGGTGTACTTATTTAATCATCGAATATTAATTTTACACCATCGTTAAATAGCAATTGAAAGTATGTAGACTCTAAAGTCCAAATACATAACTCCACTACAATTGGTTATAAAACGTTATTATCAAAATCACGCATTGATTGACGTAATTAATGTTTATTTTACATTAGTATTTTCACTTTTAGTTCTCTCTTAACTATTAAAGTTGCAAGTTGAAACTCTTTTCAACTAGCTACCTGAAGGCCCCAAGTAATAGTTGACCCTAATCTTTTAGTTTCTTTTTATCTATTTATTATTTATTTTGAGAAAACTTTTCTTTCTTCAGCTGGGTTTCAACTTTCAAACATAGTCGTTTTTTGATTTGGTCTAAAAAAGTCTTTTTTTTATATCCTAATCAATGTTTAAGCTAGTTGGTAACACCTACTAATTATTTTGTTTTTGATTATAATTTGTTCTAATTAGTCCATTATAAATTTCTAAGGAGGACGACATCACCTACGATCAACGAAAGTATAAATCCTCGATATCAAAGCACCTTGACTAATTAAATTCATAACATACAATACATTTCCACACAATTTTTTCTTGCAAATAAATATTACATTAATATTTCTTCTAAACAAGATTAATTAATCTTGACAAGTATTATCTAGCTAGACAAGCAACGGGCATGGGTAAGGCTGGATCACGGGTTTGTCGCGGTATCAGCCTTATAATCGTACTAGCCATAGCCGGTGTATTAATATGGTTTCTTGTCAAACTATACAACCCAAGGTTCTACCTTGATCAGTTTTCCGTTTTCTCCCGCCAAGAAACTACGAGCTCCCACAATAATAATTACACGATTCAATATGATTTATGGATCAGAAATAATTATATTCATAACGATGATTTGGGAATTTACTACGATGCCCTCAACGTAACGTTTTATTACAAACCAGACGTCAACAGCTTCCCTATTAAGATTGGTGATGCTACTTTTAGCCCGTTCTACATACATCGGTCTAGGAGTACGCATCGTGCCGGGAGTTTCGTTACTCGAGGGGTAAAATTGGAAAATGATACCGCGTCTCCGGTGATTTTTCGGGTGGAATTGTCAACGGCCGTGAGGTATAGGAAACCGTTGTTGAAGACCAAACGACACCGTATGAAGGTAGGGGCTGACTTTGAAGTCAACGATCAAGGTACCATGATCAATAAGGAAGTTAAACACTTAAACTTAAGTCAAATGCTAAAAGGAACGGTAAAGTTCGTTTACAGTTGATGGGTATTTTGGGGATCTTTCTTTGTAATAATATTCCGTTGTAATTTTTTTACTAGCAATTTCTCCCCTTATTCATTTTTTTTGTTTGTTACTCGTATAAAAAATGTTATTGTTTGTTTATTTTTCATGCTAAATTGTACAAAGTAATTGGTATGTTTACAAAACAAATTTGAAGACAATATTTTGAATTTATTTTAGTTGAGTGAAAAAAAAAAAAAAAAAAAAAAACTGTTATGGTATAATTAAAGCACAATATTCACTTGAATAGTCGTTGAAATTTACTTTTTCTATTGTGTTATAAATTCAATAGCTTTTTTTAACACAAATAGAAGATATATATATATTAAAAGGCTATAGCCTTGATATTTACATTATACATCCCATGATATATATAAGGAAAATTGATGCAGCAGCAAAATAAGCCTATTAAAAGGGCTAAGATTAAGGCCGAAACTGATCCCCTATAGAGAACAGTATATACATCAGTAATTATCCAAAAGCTATGTACTTCCACAACTGAAATCTATAGACTGGCAGCATTCATCTGAAATTCCCAAAAGCTAGCAATATCTATATCAACATCATCATCCATAAGCAAAGAGAAAGAACCTCTGCCTCTAATGAGCTGTTGCTTCTGCAACATTTGCTTTCTCTGACTCGTACAATTTAGAAACACATTCTGGAACCAGATAATGTTTCTTGTAGCCAATAGCCATCTCTCGTCCAAATACAGCAAGACGATGAGCCAATTCATTCCCTTCTCTTGGGATATGAGTAACCACAGCAACCTCAAACTTAGACAAAACAGCAGCAACATCACAGATAGTTGCGGCTAACTCGTGATGAGGATTGGAACCTGATGTCATTAGCATATCACGAAGGACTTTGGCATCAGTTTCAACAATCACCTTTTTGATCCCCAAATCCATTGCAATAGATAAGCCATCATTCATAGCATAGAGCTCAGTGAGAAAAGGTGAAATTGCATCATATTTGCATGAGAATCCCACATACCACGAACCATCAGACCTTCTAATTACCCCTCCTCCAGAAGAGATAGCAGAATTAATCCAAGCACCATCCATATTTATCTTGAAAAATCCTTCTCTAGGTGCCTTCCAATCGAAATCGGAAGAAATCTGCTCCTTACCCTTCCTGCTCTTGCACTCCTGTAACATTGAACTTGAAATTTTATAATCAAAGAGGAATTTAGTAAATAAAGAGATCGGACCAATATGTTTTTTTTCAAAAACAGTATTATTCCTATGCAACCAGAGGTGCCACAAAGCTGTAACAAAAATCATTTTCCACTTCTTATCGAAACCAAGATTATAGTTTATCCAAATTTCCCAAGAAGAATTTTTAAAAATATCAAAATTGAAATTATTAGGAAGATAAACTTTGTTAAAAATATCATTCCACAAAATTGAGGAAGAGAAGCAATCCCTAAAGATATGAATATGAGGTTCTGAGTAAATGTTACATCTAGAACATATAGGAGATATCAACGGCATATAGGTAGCCAAAGTTTCTGCCACGGGCAAAATCGAATGAGCACAATTCCCATAAGAACATTCTATATTTAAAGGGAGCTTGAATTTTCCATAAACCTTTCCAAGAATTAATATTAGAAGAAGCTTGGCACTTTCCTTTCAAAAGAAAATGATAAGCTGATCTAACACTAAATATACCATCCTTGCTTAAATCCCAAGTGATAAAGTCCTCTAAATCTGTAAATTTCGACAAAGGTGTGGCTTTGATCATGTTGATAACATGCTGAGGTAAAAGGTGAAGGATGTCATTCAAATACCAAGCTCTATCCTTGATTATATTAGACACTTTCCAATCATCCATGTGAGGAGGAATATCACAAATCATCACATCTTTTAAAATTGAGGAACCTAGCCAATGATGATACCATAATGAAGTAGAACTCCCATTACCAATTCCTACCCTTAAACCCGAGGCTAATAACTCCCTGCCCTTTAGAATGTCTTTCCAAATTTGAGAATGATTAGGGCTAACATGACAATAAAAAAGACCTCCTCTCTTCAAATAATTTTCACTCAAAATCCTAACCCATAATTTGTCAGGTTTAGTAAGGATCATCCAACCTAACTTAGCCATGAAGGCCATGTTCCACAATTTTAATCTTCTAATCCCTAATCCTCCTATTTCCATAGACACTACTAGAAATAGGCTAAATTACGACGGAATAATTACGACGGACATTTTTTTCCGTCGTTAAGGTGGATATTTACGACGGAAAACATTTCGTCGCAATTTAGCGACGGAAAATTTCAATTACGAGGCATTTTCCCTCGTAAATTTTACGACGGAATTTAAATATAAACTTCTGACGGAATATTCCGTCGTAAAGTAATTTGCGACGGAATATTCCGTCGTAAGTTTATATTTACGACGGAATTTATTTCCGTCGTAAAAGTCATTGTCATTTTTGAAAATTAAAATTGTATCCTTGACCTAAAAAAAGGGGGAAAGAAACGCAGAGAGAGAAAGAGAAGCAGCGGCAGGAGAGAGAGAAAGAGAAGGAGAGAGAGAAGGAAAGAGAAGAAAGAACGAGGCGGCCCTGGTTTTTTTGGCGACGCCCTGGTGAACGAAAGAGAAGGAGAGAGAAAGAGAGAGGGAATTTTCGGAGTCGTCGTTGCACAGAAGAAAGAGAAGGAGAGAGAAAGAGAGAGGGAAAGAGAAGTCGCCGCCGTCGGTGACCCAAACCTCAGCCCTCCGTCACGCAACTGCCGCCGTCGGTGACCCAAACAGAGCCGACATTGTAAGAGAGAAAGAGGATGAGTAGGAGAAAGAAAAAGAGGTCGAGAAGGAGAAAGAGGGCGGCTGAAGGGGCGGCTTGTGTCCGTCGTCGAGCCTCCGGCGCCACCTTTGTTTTTGTTTTTTTTTTTCATTCGAATCTGACTTTTTTTGCTTTGACCACCACAACCGCAGCCTCCGACCTCCGGCCTCCTCCCTTCCCTCGCCATGGATGGTTGTTGTTGCCGGCGCCGCGCCAAGGTCAGTTTTCCCCACTTTTTTTAATTTTTTTTTGTTAAATAATAAACCCTTATTTATTTAATTTATTTTTTAAAATATTTTGTAGGATTTGTACAATTAGATTGTTTGATTGTCAAAAAGAAGTGCAGATCTAAAGGTTAGTCACATTACAAACTCTAATATTTTGTATGTATGTTACTTTGGTTTGGTTTTGTTTAACATAACTTCGTTAAGTTAAGTTTTTTCTAATATAATGTGTTTTAGTTTAGTTTAGTTTACTTTTTTTTTGTAAGTATGTTAGTTTAGTTTAGTTTACTTTTTTGTAAGTATGTTAGTTTAGTTAAGTTTTTTTTTTTTTTTTTTTTAAAATATAATGTGGTTTAATTTAGTTTAGTTTTACTAAAGTATATTAGATTAGTTTAATATTATGAAACTTTAGTTTAGTTTATTTTAATATAATGTGGTTTAATTTAGTTTAGTTTTACTAAAGTATATTAGATTAGTTTAATATTATGAAACTTTAGGTACGTTTTGTTTGTTTTGTTTAATATGATGTATGTTAGATTACTTTAGTTCATTATAATCTAGTTTAGTTTTGTTTAGTTTAATATAATGTTTCTTACTTAAGTTTAATTTTTTATAATGCATGTTACTATATTTAATATTATGATATGTTAGTTTAGTTTGGTTTTGTTTGGTTTGATTTGTTTATATTAATGTTATGATTTTATGATATGTTTGTTTATGTTAAGTTTAATTATGATATATTTGTATAATTTTTTGTATGTTAGTTTAGTTTTAACATCTTTAAAAAAATCATTTGCATAATCATATGCCTAGATACCCGTTCAAGGCATACACATTAGGAGTATGTCTTGAATAATCCCCGGTTGGGACTGTCCTTGTACGTTTATTCTCACTTAGGTGGTGAATGTATCCCTTTGTTTTAATTCTAAGGAAGATCCTTGCTTGTCATTTCTCTACAATGTTCTCTAGGTACATATATAGGTGTTTCTAATCGCCTATATTGTGTACTTGGGGAACTGTAGGAAGATGCTGCCGGATTTTCCATAGAATTAAAATTCTGGCATACATTCACTAGTGAGATTGAACGTACAAGGATGGGTTAGGTTGGAGTGATAAGGACCCTTGGAAATCATTTCTCTTCTCATTTGCATTTCCATAACAGTTTGATCTATAATGAATATATATTGTGCTTTATGACTAATATGATTAATGGAATATGTGTTAGTTGTGTAGAACTTGTAATCATGAAACGAAAAGAACGTAGCTGGATGTACGAAAGGAAGGTTGGGAATTCTATTAATCCTGAGTTCTTGAAGGGGGTAGATTGGTCCTTAAATATGTGGAAGATCATCCCGAGAGTAGCAACCCGAATGAAGTTAGGTGTCCATGTTTTAAATGCAAAAACAAGCGTCTTTGGGATCCAGATACGGTCAAACTTCATTTGTATCGCAGCGGTTTTTTACCTAATTACTATGAGTGGATGTGTCATAGGGAAGGGTTTCCAGGAACTCATAGAAGGCAGCCAAATGAATATCGTGAAATGGTTTTGGATGCCTTTGGTCAGTCTCAAGATCAAGGCCATTCCGAAGAGCCACCTGTTTCATTAGAGGAGGAGCCTAATGCACAAGCCAAGCCATTTTTTTGATTTGTTAAGGGCTTCTGAACAACCGTTATACAAAGGGAGTTCATTGTCTGTGTTAGAGATGGCTTCTAGAATCACTAGCCTAAAGTGTGAGTATAATTTGCCGCACAGATGTGTTGATGGATTTGCTTCTTTGGTTAATGAAGCGATTCCTAACAACAACCACATGGCCGAGACATTCTATGAGGTTAAGAAAATTGTTAAGGGGTTAGAGATGCCCCATGAAAAGATTCATGCATGCCCAAAAGGATGTATGTTGTTTTGGAAAGATGATGCTCAATTATCTACATGTAGGGTGTGTGGCAGCGACCGATACAAGAAGACTTCTAAAGGTAGCTTAGTGCCTTTGAATGTTCTATTTTATTTCCCTATCACACCTAGGTTGCAAAGGCTTTTTGCAACTAAAAACATTTCTGAGGAAATGACATGGCATGCTAAAATTCCTCGAGTTCAAGGCACAATCGCACACCCTAGCGATAGTGAAGCGTGGAAAC